AGGGGACTCAGATGTTGGGACAAGGGACCTAAGTGGTCAGAAGGTGATCCAGGTGGCTTGTAGGGGACCTAGATGGCTGGAAGGAGACCCAGATGTTGGGACAAGGGACCTGGGTGGCCAGGAAGGGACCCACATGTTGGGACAAGGGACCTAAGTGGTCAGAAGGTGATCCAGGTGGCTTGTAGGGGACCTAAATGGCTGGAAGGAGACCCAGATGTTGGGACAAGGGACCTGGGTGGCCAGGAAGGGACCCACATGTTGGGACAAGGGACCTAAGTGGTCAGAAGGTGACTCAGGTTGCTCGCAGGGGACTCAGATGTTGGGACAAGGGACCTAAGTGGTCAGAAGGTGATCCAGGTGGCTTGTAGGGGACCTAGATGGCTGGAAGGAGACCCAGATGTTGGGACAAGGGACCTGGGTGGCCAGGAAGGGACCCACATGTTGGGACAAGGGACCTAAGTGGTCAGAAGGTGATCCAGGTGGCTTGTAGGGGACCTAAATGGCTGGAAGGAGACCCAGATGTTGGGACAAGGGACCTGGGTGGCCAGGAAGGGACCCACATGTTGGGACAAGGGACCTAAGTGGTCAGAAGGTGACTCAGGTTGCTCGCAGGGGACTCAGATGTTGGGACAAGGGACCTAAGTGGTCAGAAGGTGATCCAGGTGGCTTGTAGGGGACCTAGATGGCTGGAAGGAGACCCAGATGTTGGGACAAGGGACCTGGGTGGCCAGGAAGGGACCTGGGTGGCCAGGAAGGGACCCGGGTGTTGGGACAAGGGACCCAGGTGGCTGGGAGGGGATGAGGTGGCTAAGATGGGACCCAGCCATCAGGACAAGGGACCAAGGTGGACAGGAGGTGACCCAGGTGGCCAGGAGGGGACCCAGATGTTGGGACAAGGGACCTGCATGGCCAGGAGACCTGGGTGTCCAGGAAGGGACGCAGATGTTGGGACGAGGGACATGGGTGGCCAAGATGGGACCCAGCCATCAGGACAAGGGACCAAGGCAGACAGGAGGTGACCCAGGTGGCCAGGAGGGGACCCAGGTGTCGGGATGAGACACCTGGGTGGCCAGAAGGTGACCAGGAAGGGTCCTGGGTGTCCGGGAGGCGACCCAGATGTTGGGACAAGAAACCTGGGTGGCCAGGAAGGGACCTGGGTGGCCAGGAAGGGACCCAGAAGGTGGGACCACCTGGGTGGCCTGGAAGGAACCTGGGTGTCCAGAAGGGGACCCAGATGTTGGGACAAGAAACCTGGGTGGACCTGGGTGGCCAGGAGGGGACCCAGATGATGGGACAAGGGACCTGGGTGGCCAGGACGTGACCTGGGTGTTCAGGAGGGGACTCAGATGTTGGGACAAGGGACCCAGGTGACCAGGAGGGGACACAGGCAGTTGGGAGGGGACCCAGGTGGCTGGGAGGAGACCCAGGTAGCTGAGAAGGGACCCAGATGACCTTGGGAGGGGAACCAGGCACCCTGTGGACAACCCAGGTGACCCGAGGGAGACCCAAGTGACATGGTGGGGGAGGCAAGTGACACGGTGGGGGACACCGAGGCGTCCGGGTCCTTACCTGCCAGCTGTCACTGAGGTCCTTGACCTGCTGCTGCAGCTCCGTCAGCGACTTGAACGCCTCG